GACTCTGATAGTTACATAAGGTTCTATTTTTATTCTGAAAAGATGGTATTGTACAGTTTATTGGGGAAAATATTTCTATTTACTTAGATAATAATTTCAAATAACATTTAATGTCTTTCTTATTGGGTCATATCCTTTGGTATATAAATTTTTATTTGTCCTTGCAAAAATTATTGTAAATGAATTAACTATTATTCCCAGGCACTCTTTGTTAAAATGACTACTTTTCATAATGTCAAAAATTTTTAAGTTTACATGCCCCATTTTTAATGTTTATCATTCTGGACTCAGACTTCTAATAAAATAGCTGCTCCCATGTGGAGCTCTGACTAGAACTAGAGCGATTTCTTGTGCATTGTCCCTTAGAAAAGCTAAGCATCTCTATACTGAATTTTCTGGAGAGGTCAACGGAGTATTTGTAAAATATGGTGGGAGGGATAAAAGGCCATGAAAGAGCCTAAACCGTCTTCTAGATGTTTTCATCTCAACTTGTCTTCCAACTTTTTTTGTACCAAGTAGGGAGAAATCTTTGGAATGGAATCCCTGTAGAGTTAGTATGTTAGTCAAGGTTCTCCAGAGAAACAGAACCATAAAGTGTGTGTGTGTGTGTGTGTGTGTGTGTGTGTGTGTGTGTGTGTGTGTGTAAAGTATGTTAGCTGACAAGTTCTAAGATCTTCAAGGTGAGTTGGCAAGCTGGAAACTTGGGAGAAGGCTATACTGTATTTCTACTCCAAAGGCCAGTACATTTAAGACCCCAGAAAAGCCAATGTTTCAAATCAAGTCCAAAGGCTGGAAACAGCCAGTACTCTAGTTCAAAGTCGGTATGGCCTAAGGAATTCTCTCTTACCACAGGAGGGTCAGCCCCTTTTGCTCTATCCAGGCTTTTAACTGATGGGACAAGACCCACCCAAAGTAGGAAGACTGATCTCCTTTACTCAGCCTAACGATTTAAATGTTAATTTGATCTGGAAACATCCTCCTAGACACCTACAATAACATCTGACCCAATATGAGGACACCTTGTGATCCATTCAAGTTGACACATAATATTATTCATCACAGTAAGAAACTCCATATGAAGATACATTTTCTAATCTTTCTGCATTCCTAAGGAAGACTTGACCAATCCAGGGTTACAGACTTAAATCCTACAAGGTTAGAGACTTAGTAATGGCTCATTCATTCATTATATCTCTCCATTTTAACTAGGGGAGAGCTCAGCATTTTACATTATATTTGACTTTATGTCAAATTTCAGGAAAACCTAAGGACAATAACCTGCAAGCAAATCTTTCATTTGCTCAGTCAGAAAACCTATATTGAGCATTTCCCATGGACTGAGAACTGTGGTAGGACAAAAAGATGGATAAAACAAGCCTCTGCCACTCATAGGCTAAGAGCCCACCTTCCCCATGTTGGAATTCCCTCCTTGAATATATCATCAGGAGGCTTTCAAGCTAATGTTTTAAATAGAAGCTATAGCTAGAGGCTAAACTTTCTCCTATTTTTACTATGTTTTATTTTGGTAGTTTAAGCTTAGTTCTATTTTTTTAGCCCCAGAAACTTTTTTCCAAAATGAAACTGTACACAAAATTCCCATATTAATCAGAGATTCAGTTGGAGCTGGTTTTTCTCATGGTTGATGAGGAAAAGGCCTGATGTCTGTTCACTTACTTGGCTTCCCCCCCCCCC